AAAACATTTTTAATTAAATTGATTTTATGTTATTTTATGAAAAATATTTTAATAAATTCATAAGACTAATTATATTTTTAATGTATAATTTAGATTGCCGTGCAAAAAAAAAAAGTGTAATTTAGATTAAAAAAATATAAAATTCAAAATATTTATATTCTTAATTCACCGCAATTATTGCTTGACAGCCGCTCAATTACGTACAGCCGGCATGACTAGTTTTAGCACGGAAGCATTTTTAGTATCAGAGAAATGTTCGGTGCGAACTTATTTTTCGAACGTCCAAAAAAATTTTTATTAAATTAAAATAAAAGCGGTACTGTTACCTAAATGTTCAGTGTGAACTTATTACTGTTGAATATTGATAGATTGTTGTTTAAAGGACGATTTAATAGTTAAGAGTTTAATATTTTTAATGAAATATTTTAAATTTAAATTTTGAGTTCAGTAAAGATAAATTTAAAGAAAAAATATTATTTACTTTTATATAACTTATTATTATTATATGTATAAAAAAAGATAAATTACCCGAACATAATAAGTCACTACAAGCAGATGCATTTATACCGACGGAAGTTTTCTGTCTGTATAGACCCATTTTCCGTTGGTATAGACCCCTAGGGACTATTCCAACAATCGAACTTTCAGTCGATGGGAACCTCGTCAGTATAAGGTCTATACCAACGCCTAATCCATCTGTATAGACCCTTGGGGTCTATTCCGATGGAAGACCTGTCCGTTGGTATAAACCCTGAAAAATCTAAAAAAAAATTTCCATTGGTATAAACCCTTAGCTTTACAAACGGATAATTCCATTAGTATAGATCCTTTTTTTTTTTTTTTAACCAACCTTAAGAACAACAGTCTGGATCCAAACCAAAACCAAAATCAAAATAAGGTTCAATAAATTTGCCAAGAAAAGCTCTGCAATCCATTCTTTATTGGAACCACAAAACATAACTACCTTAAATCTTTTCATCAAAAAATATAAACCACACTAACCATTACTGTCATCTGGGTACAAAAAGCAAGAATTTCAGCATAGATCTTTAAAATAAATTGTAGATCTTTAATTACTGTCATCTAAGTACAACATCAGTATAGATCTTTAAAAGAAATTATACCTATCAATATTCTAAACACATATTCTTTATTTTCCATCAGTATACCAACAACTAACCTTAAAACAAAAGACATGGTCAACACATATAGCAGCTGCTGATGAGAAAGCATAGGAAGATGGTTCATAGAGGCTCTCCGTACCGCAGCTTCTTTAGCTACTTGAAGCCACCGTGGAGTTCTGAAATTTGCAGCTTCCCCACAATTAAAACCTAATTTGGAACAAAAAAAGATTCTTAATGGAAAATTAAGAACAAGAGGAAGGGTGGAACAAAAGTGACTTATTTTAATGGGAAAATAAAGAGACATTCACACAAACTTTTGTACAATTTCCAAGTTCTGGTTTAGTTATTGATAAAAATGCAATGAGTATGCATACCTATTGGCTGTTAGAAGTTATAACACCATAGTATCCTTAAAATTCTAGCAGAAGGTAAAAAGTATAAAGAAAATGTAAGCAACTCATGTGGCTGAATCCTGCATGGTATGCCCTCAGGAAAGTCACAACAAATTCACCAACATTCTGTACTAACTTAAAGTGAAAAAACCAAAAGATACATGAGTAGAACTTCAAGATAGAAAATGAGTACAAGAAGCAAATGCCTTGCACTCCATTCTGTATGGGGCAATAACTTTTGGCATAGCTGTGCATTTTGAAACCCTTAATGGAACATAAAAAAAGGTATCCTAGTATCATAAAAAAATAATAACAGCAAGAAGTAAATAAAATAAAACGAGCATTTACTTTTTTGGATGCCAAGCAATGTTTGCAAACATGAACCCTATAAAGGCACCTTAATTATAAAACACTTGAAAGGCATGAAATATATATAGAAAAATATCTGAAGATATTTAAGATGTTTATAAGGTAAAAGCTAAGATGCCAGCAAAAATTGTTTCAAGTTCTTCCCAAATTCAAGTCAATTTTTTTTACGTTCCACAAGATAGCATACCAACTGTGTATTCTAATTTATCAATCTATATAAAAAACTTCATTCAATTTTAGTTTGACAAAATTCTTCAATGGAAAAATAGGAGAAATCACAAAACCAGTTAAATATAGCCTAGAGGGCATAACCTTCCTTTCCCCGCAAAACAAATAATGAGTTTGATCAAGGTCAAGGTTGAACATATTTGGGAGCTTCACTCATTTAAGAATTTTAATTGGGGGAAAATGTTTCCTGCATCAGAAAAACATTCAAATATGCAAAAAACACCCTAGCAACATAGACTAAACTGCTTAAATAGTTGAAACTTTTACCTGTCCCAGCTCATCATGACGCAATATATGTTGCAATTCGGTGCAGGGCAAGAAGGTTACTGTTAGTAATCAGCATTTTTTGTCAGACCTAACTAGAATCTAATATTGTGCTTCACTTCTGAATAAGTACACAGTCCAGGGTACACTAGGATATCTTAAAAAATGAAAATAGTGAAATACAAGTTACCCTCTAATTTCAGTAAGGTCACCGGTAAGTAGTTCACAGCTGAGAGAGTAGTAGAAGTAAAGCCTAGCAGTTAGAACATCAACAGTCCTCATATTCACGTTCTTTAGCCGAACAATGCTTGTAGAGGTGCAAGCTTTTGCTTTAAACATCGATTGCTATGTTACTTATGTAATAGACACAGAAAAAGATCCTTGATGAAACAATATTTGTTCACTCACCTCATTGTACTTCTTTTGATCAATCAGCAATATCAAGACAAGCAAGTAGTAGTAGATTTCCATCTCCGGTAATGGATGTTTTGCAGAAGCTTGAAGTGAAGAGGTAGCAGTATCAACTTCCATATCATGCTCATCTTCGTATCACCAATGTTGAGCAATGCAATGTTGGAGAATGTAATCCACACAAGTTTCCAAATTGATGAACACGCATCATAACAACTGCTACAACCTTACACTTTCAAAATAATCACTTTTCTCAACATGAATCGCTCAATAAAGAAAGCCTGAAGCTTTACCTTTGGAAGAGAAGAAGACAGCTTACTGTGCACCTTAGATCTCGGAGGAAGAGCGAAATTGAGGAAAGCAGAGAGAATGGGAGCCTTTAGTTTCCGTTGGATCACCATGGTAAGCCTCACGGCTCGCACAATTCGCCTAATTTCACCAATTATCACCACACTGTTTCACTACATAACCCTAGGATTATGCTCAAAACGCATTACATTAAGCAGACTAGATCTAGGGTTGAAAGGAAGCTACCAGATTTTGAAGCACAAGGAATGAGAAGTTCAGCGGTTGCGCCGGAGAAAGACGCCTGCCAAATCGAGCATCGGAGATCCAGAATCGCCAACATCGAATATGTCCTCCAGGCACACACTAGTTGGCTCCACCAAAGGGTCGATCGGAGTCTGAAACATGGATCCAAGGTCCCCAGTGCTAGATCAAGTCGAAAAGTCATCAAGGTTAACCAAATTTTTTGGATCGAATGTCAGATTTGCGCTATTGGAGAACTGTCCCACAAAGAGAACGTCGGCTGGCCCCTTCGATCGGATGATGATGGCATGAACAGCGAGAAGGAGAAAGGGAAAGGATACGAGAGAGAAGAGAGAAAAGGGAAATGAATTTTGGCGAAGGTTGGAGTCGAACTAGATTTGGGAGAGGGAAATATTTAGGTTTAGCTGGGGAGGGAAACTCTGAATGTATAGAAGGAAAATTGGGGAAAATGTGGAGGGAAGTGAAAATAAGGACAGCCGGCTAAAATCAAAGAGAAAAAAATTGAGTTTAACAAATAGTAAATTATACAGACAGTGCATAGAAATCTGTATGTATAAATATATTTATACAAACGTAAGATGATTTCCGTTGGTATAGATATTCTCTATACAGATGGATAATAATTTTTCGTTTGTATAAACCTAATTTATACTAACAGATATAATTTTTCGTTTGTATAAACCTAACCTATACTAACGAATATATTTTTCCGTTGGTATAGACTTGTCTATACAAACGGATATCTTTTTCCGTTGGTATAGACCCGTGTATACAAACAGATTTCAATCCGTCAGTATAGACTTCCGTTGGTAAAAAACATTTTGCTTGTAGTGAGTTGAATAATTTAAAGCTTTTTTATCTTTAAATTTTGAATTATATAATAAAAATAAATATTTTTTTCAACTAATTTTATTTACATATTATAAAACTTAAACTAAAGTTTTTTATTATTATTAAAAAATATTATTTAAATACTTAAGTACTTAGCACAATTAAAAACTATTTTACTATTTCAGTTTAATATAAAAAAATCTTAATTATTTTTTTCTCCGGTTCAAGACTCTGTCAGTTTCAGCACGCTACCTTTTGAACCTCAAGAAAACGACAAACATGTATTTATTTTTTATAGTAAACGACAATCATGGATATTTAGCGAGAGAGAATATAATAATTGATAATGTTGAATATAGACAATCCAAATTAAAGTACACCGACACATTTCTCGTGCTTGCCTAATTACCTTGTAGCTGAAGTAAATTAGCATATTTAATTAATTATTTTTCTAATTATAATGTTAAGAAAGCTACCGTCAAAGAAAATATGTTAGTGGCCTAGTGATCACTATCTCCTTATTATAAACTTCTTATGTAAGTTGGGATGTGTCAAATTTAAATTCAACTCTTAACCGTTCAAAAAGACAAAAAAAAAAAGAAAAAAAAGAAAAAAAAAGCTACATCTAAAAAACATTTTGCTTGACATGGCAATCGGTTGATGCAACATGTGCTTGCACTACTTCTACTATTTATGAAAATTTAACATGTTGGTATGAACATAAAATATGATTATTTAATTTAAAATTAATTAATAATATGGACTACAACATTTTTCAATAGCTGTGGTAGAACTAGAAATCAATTATGTTTAGGATTTTTTATCTTGCCACAGTTGAGTTTAAATCTTTTTTTTTTTTGTCCCTGCAAAAAAAAAAAAATTAAGGGTGTAGCTTACGCCTTTAGCATTATTTTCTTTAAAATGTTAAGTAGAGCTTCTTTGTGTTTTGATTTTATGGAAACCACAAGGTAGGGCCTATTCTTATGCGTATAATTTTGAATTACTTGTCAGGTAAACTTAATTATATTCCAGGGTATGGTAAATGTACATGCAGGCTTGATATAATCTTTAGAACTTGTCAAGCAAGTTAATAATATCAGG